GGAGTAAAAGAAGTAAGTAAGTAAGTAAGTAAGTAAGTAAGTAAGTAAGTAAGTAAGTAAGTAAGTAAGTAAGTAAGTAAGTAAGTAAGTAAGTAAGTAAGTAAGTAAGTAAGTAAGTAAGTAAGTAAGTAAGTAAGTAAGTAAGTAAGTAAGTAAGTAAGTAAGTAAGTAAGTAAGTAAGTAAGTAAGTAAGTAAGTAAGTAAGTAAGTAAGTAAGTAAGTAAGTAAGTAAGTAAGTAAGTAAGTAAGTAAGTAAGTAAGTAAGTAAGTAAGTAAGTAAGTAAGTAAGTAAGTAAGTAAGTAAGTAAGTAAGTAAGTAAGTAAGTAAGTAAGTAAGTAAGTAAGTAAGTAAGTAAGTAAGTAAGTAAGTAAGTAAGTAAGTAAGTAAGTAAGTAAGTAAGTAAGTAAGTAAGTAAGTAAGTAAGTAAGTAAGTAAGTAAGTAAGTAAGTAAGTAAGTAAGTAAGTAAGTAAGTAAGTAAGTAAGTAAGTAAGTAAGTAAGTAAGTAAGTAAGTAAGTAAGTAAGTAAGTAAGTAAGTAAGTAAGTAAGTAAGTAAGTAAGTAAGTAAGTAAGTAAGTAAGTAAGTAAGTAAGTAAGTAAGTAAGTAAGTAAGTAAGTAAGTAAGTAAGTAAGTAAGTAAGTAAGTAAGTAAGTAAGTAAGTAAGTAAGTAAGTAAGTAAGTAAGTAAGTAAGTAAGTAAGTAAGTAAGTAAGTAAGTAAGTAAGTAAGTAAGTAAGTAAGTAAGTAAGTAAGTAAGTAAGTAAGTAAGTAAGTAAGTAAGTAAGTAAGTAAGTAAGTAAGTAAGTAAGTAAGTAAGTAAGTAAGTAAGTAAGTAAGTAAGTAAGTAAGTAAGTAAGTAAGTAAGTAAGTAAGTAAGTAAGTAAGTAAGTAAGTAAGTAAGTAAGTAAGTAAGTAAGTAAGTAAGTAAGTAAGTAAGTAAGTAAGTAAGTAAGTAAGTAAGTAAGTAAGTAAGTAAGTAAGTAAGTAAGTAAGTAAGTAAGTAAGTAAGTAAGTAAGTAAGTAAGTAAGTAAGTAAGTAAGTAAGTAAGTAAGTAAGTAAGTAAGTAAGTAAGTAAGTAAGTAAGTAAGTAAGTAAGTAAGTAAGTAAGTAAGTAAGTAAGTAAGTAAGTAAGTAAGTAAGCAAGCAAGTAAGTAAGTAAGTAAGTAAGTAAGCAAGTAAGTAAGTAAGTAAGTAATATTCTTTACAGTTTCCAACAAGTGAATTTGAATTCGGTTGGTGTCTAGAAAAGAAATATCTAATTCAGCTGCTGTCAAAACTCTGCAAAGTGATGTTACAAATAAGGTAAAACTACACTCAATATGCATACATTAACTTTAATTTAATAACAAAGATTGTATGTTTCCAAAATCAAAATGTCTCTCAAAACACATTTTACTATGACGAGATTTATTGGGAATGTGTTGTATTTTTTATCTTGTGAACCATATATCAGATATTGGATGGATTCTATTTAAAGATTGTCAGAGCCAACAGTACAAACATGCGAATCCTTTGTCGCAACAATAATCAAGCGATCATCAGATAATAATTTCGAATGGTAGTTCCAAAGAGTTCTAATAAGAAGACGTGATCAGTGGAGTTCAGTTGCGTCAATTGTGAGGCAGTTGCTGTCCAGTTATATTAGTTGTAGGTTGATTGAACTTAGCTATGTAAACTAACAGCTCTTAGCACATCGGCCTACAATTTGAAATATCTACGCGACACATGAGTGTTTTATGTTTAATCACCGGTAGGGTCGAGAATATGTGCTTATATTAGAAGAATATCAGTATGAAGCAGTTGTTAGTTGCTTCCTTGTTTTTAAGTTAATTATAGATCAAGGTGATTCATGATATTAACAATAAAGTTCAACAATCACCAAAAGCCACTGGGCAGACAATTAACCATAGTACATCATCCTAACAATGTTCTTGCTAACTTAACTATAGCATCATAACTTACAAATTTTATATAGTTTAGTCACGGAGCTCAGTTCGAAACGTTAGTTTGATTAGTTTTTTTGGCTTCGTAGTAAGCAGAACAGGTAAACTTCCTCTTCATCAATATAGTTATATATCACTTGGTCAACGTAGAAAGTAATTATTTTTCATACTATTAGCCATAAATTAAAACAATAACGCCACATATTCAAACACTGTGCTGTTATAATCCTTTCTGTCAGAACCTAAATAAAATTGACCAATTGTAAGTGCATCTACAATTCTGGGAGTGAAAAACATAATACTTCTTTAGCTATTAACTTCAATTCATAGAAGAAACAGCAATCGACATGCACTTTTCATAAGGAACTATTCAAGATGAAATAACTGTCAACTGGTTTAAACAGCATTCATTCTAACTCAAGCGTTATTATTCATTATATTTTGATCATCCATTTGATCATGAATTTTCGTTTTTCTATGAAATACTTTCTTTCTATTCCTTCAATCCCCGAAAAGAGGGCTTACAATGAGTCACGAACCGTCACAAAATCTAATTTTTCTACTCATTTACATATTAAAAGTATATTATTTTTATTCTTTGCATTCTATTTGTTTGTAAACTCATGCACTGTCAAATATATATCTGATTGAATTGTTCGAAAAATTTTACGTAACTACAACACTGATTTTAGATGAACAATTTCTACTCATTGAATGATTTAAAAGACTGACAACTCGAGTGATATACACCATTTAGTGTTTTGTCTGTCGCAGTTATCCAGAGGATTCGATTTGGTCAATCACCTACTTAATAATTTCGTGGATGATGAAAGAAATTTCTAGCATATTAACTAACTTAAAAGAACAATTTTCAAATATAATTCGTGAATGTCTCCAACATGTCACAATTTAAGGGATAGATGGCCCTAATTATTTGTGAAATGCACACTGATATACAACATTCTTCATTAACAAAACGAGGCAGTTCCAATTCATCATAGAAACATAATCATTATAGCCTATCACTATTATTCACAATAGTTTAGATAAGGAATGTACAATATTTCTCACTAACAACCTGCTTTTGTGGATTGAATTCGTCACAGATTGATCTTACTTGAGTTGTCAGTAAAAGTCAATAGAGCATTGAACGACCGTTTCGTCTATGATGGTGTTCATCAACAGTGAACTCCTACGAATCATAGTAGGATCGAACATAAGTTCTTCAGCACTTTGCATTAAAACCCCTGACCATTAGAACTACTAGAAGAGTGTTTAACGATACTATCCATTTTCAATCAATTCTCAACATGATGTGATGATCATTTCATGTCATCGGTAACAACAGTTTCACCGTCAATACGCCTGAATTGACAGTTATGAGCATTTTCAGAATTTTAGAAGTATTTTCAAATATTTAATAGATAAGCTTGCATTTAAACCAGTAGACAGTATATGATAGCACACTCATGTTGTAGTTTGACAGTGCTATTCTGTCTTCAGTGCATAACTGTAAATTCCAGTAATGCATGAGTTTATTAGTGCAATAATTATCATATGTTGAAATATTCAATAAATAGGCTGGTTATTTTATTTTAGTTGAAAGTGTTTTGAAGAGATGTGTTCAAGATGTGGTTTACATAAATCACATACCACAAAACCCGCATGTTCTACGTTGGATGTCTTACGGGGTCAAATATTATCCACTCCTTAGAAGTCCCACAATGAAACGAAATAGATTTCCAGTGCTTCTCATTTTTCAATGATGCCCTCGTTGTGATCAATCAGTGACGAATAGAACCTAATAATTACACCAATCTCAACAGAAACCCCTTCATTCTGACTGGTTTTGATAATCGATTATGTTTTTAGTTATTTCCAAACCATCGAAATGTCGTCTTGTTTTCATTACATGGTATTACACAAAACGAATAAAATATTTTGTTGAAAAATGTAAACGGAAGTTCAAATGTTTTCAAAACACTCATTCATACGAGTGATTTAAAATTACAGCCCGTAATAATGCAAAGCACAAGTTCCACTATTTTGTTTTGTTTAATTATAAAAACATTCTCTGATCATACATGAAATCTAAGAGTTACATCCCAGTTGAATGTGATGTGATCCAATTTCTAAACTCGTATTTAAACCAGTTGACAGTATGTGATAGCACACTCATGTTGTAGTTTGACAGTGCTATTCTGTCTTCAGTGCATAACTGTAAATTCCATTAATGCATGAGTTTATTAGAGCGATAATTATCTATAACTACTGTTAGTGAGAGATTATTGAAGATGATAACTTAATCAAGTGGTTCTAGCGACTCTGATTTTCTTTTAAGCTTTGACACCTTTGCTTTCTCCTCATGGGATTGCACATGACACAAAGTTGAGTACTTCGATTTTAGATGTATTAGTCTCAATACAGCAATAGTCAACTGAAAATACCAGTTGTATTTCATCGTCGACAAAGCGTTAACAATCAAAACAAGAAAATCTAAACAGCATTAACTACTGTTATAGTGCCACGTGATTTATTCAGACTTTTGACAGATAAATGGGTCTAATCAGTTTAGTTATTCCGTCACTTATAAATTTACTGTTAATACTTGTTCAACTGTGGCTCTAATCATTTTTCATGCTCATGCGTATGATAATATTTATTTGTCTATCCACTTTCTGTACTTCTTAAGTGGCCTACGAAAGCCGAGTCATTTCATTGTTCGTCGAGTCAGTGCACTACCAAACGCCGATTCTCCATATATTCGCTACATCTTTCACTCCTTGTCTGCCGTTCAATTTCAACATGTTTAACATGTGAGTATCATAAATAAGACTCGTATTCAACTTTTGATATCTACAACGTATCGACGTGATTTGTCGATAGAATGTATACGAACTAAACCGCATGAATATTTCAACGGCATCATTACCGCATCAACACGATGAGGTCAACGATGCGGTTCTCACATATGAAACTTGCTAAAGATAGACAGAACAAAGTCGTTTTCTAGACAGAGAACTTTATAAGCTAAAATATTCATTTCAGTAAGGGTACAAACATAGAAACATTCTTCACAAAGTATAATTCATTGTACAAAATATTAAGCGTAACATCCAATTCAATCCTTGGGCAGTTTTTCGATTATCTTTTCAAACCATGATTGCATCAATTCAGCACGTTGAGCACCTGTGGCCAAGACTTCTTCGTGGTTCGCCTTCACACTGCTTTCAACATCCAGCACACTTATATTTGTAACTAGTGAAACGGCAAACACTTGAATTCCACAGTGCCGAGCAATTACAACTTCCGGAATCGTACTCATACCTGTAATACATGGTGAGATAAGCGTTAGCACATAGACTTAATGCTCTGTAAATAAATAGACGAAAATGAGAGAGTTTGACTGTTTTTCTTCGAATTAAGAGAATGTATCCCACCTAAAACACGGATCAAAGATGTGAGTTAATTACTAAGTGACGTTTGTTACATGATTATTTAATTACTTGTCGAATATTCGAACAATGATAAATTAAACATCTACAACATTTCTGAGTTGGATCGACAGTAAATGCATATAGAATTCGCCAACAGTCAACCAAGAACATGCACATGAGCATTTACCGTATTTTCTCTAAACGATACAGAAATCTGGAGTGAAGACACACCGCTTGCAACTTATTCTCATAAAACTGAATGAGTAGCACGTTACTTCAAAGCACTCAGCAAATCTAATCTGACGACGTAGGGTTTTCTCGTTATCTGATCAGTTAATTGAACAATAACTGACTGCAGACAGGCACTGTCTGGATGAAAACGGTTATTAAATACCGGACTGTTCCAGAACATTGAAATATCTTACTGGTGATATACAAGGTGTCTTTTGCAATCACCTTCAGAGGTTTCATCGAAAGTCAATGGATAGGCAGTTCACCGCGTTTGAATTGATGTTTGTTGAGAAAATTTGAGTAAGTATTTTACTCATGCAAAGTACTTTGATTTAGACTAAATATCTGCCTAAAGTATACTAAATACCAATCGATCATTGTTCTGATATTTTGTGGTTCCCACAACATACATGTTTCATTTTAAATGGATTTCTGAGATTTAATATCTTGAACAAAATAAACCATAGTTAATAGTCACAATCAGACTGATACAGTTTTGAAGCTGCCCCAAAATAAATACACTGTTAGCTATGTCTCTGAAGTATGCATGGAGCTGAAACATTTGCATGTGACCTGTTATCCGTTGATCACACGGAAAATGCTTAACTGATTAAAGCTAGCGTAGAAAATGTATCCTGTAACTAAAAAAACATCATCAACATTCTATCTTAAAAGCATGCAGTTTGAATGTCATTTAAATTCAGTAAATAAATGGTTGTTTAATTACCGACTACATCACAACCCATGTTAAGAAGCATTGTGCACTCAGCAGGTGTTTCGTAACAAGGACCACCATTCATCACGTAAACACCTTGGTGAACCGAATCCCCAAATCCGTTTTCTACAGCTACTTGCATAGCCAGTTTTCGCAGGTCACTGTTATAAGCATCCGAAAGTGCTGGGAATCGAGGACCAAATCTACGGAAATGAGATTGAACACAATGTAACATACTCCTCATGATTCGGTCCGACCAAAACATTATTTAATCCCAGTCCAGGAAGATAAATATGGTCTTTTAGGATCACGAAGTCACCAAGTTTGAGACTTCTGTTGAGACCACCAGCAGCATTACTAACCATAAGAATTTTGACTCCCAATAACTTCATCACACGTATGGGAAGAGCGATCTATGGCAAAGAGATAATTGACCATCACTAATGTATTACCTTGTCATTGGTATATCCCTCGTACATGTGAAACCGTCCTTGCATTACGACTACCTTTCGGCCGCTCAGAGTTCCAAATATCAGGTTTCCGGAGTGTCCAACAACTACAAATGTTAATTTAACGTATGCAACTACTTACCAGACGTTTGAGGGAAGTTGGGTATCTTTGTGTATGGAATTATGATTTTATCTTTCACCCCATCAGCCAACTTCCCCAGACCACTTCCACAAATGATCCCGATTTCTGGTTTAAAACGTGCTGATTTAAGTAAATGGTCTGCAACTTTCTTAACATTTTTCATGCTAGCGTCCACTTGACTGGAACTACATTTACTTGTAATTTATATTAGTTCAGCAGACTTACATTTTCAACAAAAGATTTCTGAATAATGCTGAAAGGCAAGTGAATGCGAGAATTAATTTAGTTTTGTTTATTAACTGCTCTGTAAAATTTGGTTTTGAATAAATTAATGGCGTACTACTAATAAGCTATTTTAAAAAAATTTATGAACAACTTATCGCCTCTGACCGTTCGCTCTTTGGTATTTAAACAGTTTCTTTATAAACCTGAATTTTCAGGTGTATTTTAATTCGAATATTTTAAATGAATCTGTTTTCATAGTGTTCTCAAGTTCCACTTATCAACGCACGCTCGCGAAAAAAAAATACGATGAATAGATAGAATGACTCGGAAAATCTTTTCTTTTTGCTCTTACAAATCACAATACTCTATTATCTAGTATTTTACCTCCTTAAAATTCACGGAGTTGTAATTCTTAAGTGTTTTTTGGACATCCAGACTTTCAATCAACTCGGTAACATGAGTAACGCTGATACAGTCAAATAAAAAGAAATCCTTGAAGGCAATACAGTGAACTTACTGGTATCTAATGCAACACGAAAACTGCTTTCCGATTCAAAGATTTATATACAATGAAATTTAACCTTGAAAAGGTTTCAGTTTGTTTTAGTGCTGAACCATAAACTTTTCCAATATCCATAATATCATTTTACTCTAGCTTGTATAAATCAGTTGGTTTCTTTACACTCTCTTCACGTTGTCTTGGTACGGTTACGTGTATTTGATGATGTCCAGTTGGTGGTAGTCTAGTCATTTCATTTCATTAGTTCTAGTCAGTGTATTACATGTCGATTCATAATGAGTGCATTCGTCTTGATACAGCACTATACAGTTTTATTCTGATGATCATTTGTAAACATTGGATTTGGCGAATTTTAATGTTTTTTCACTTCATCAAATCAACTTCATGTCTTTAGATTCGCTTCAAGTTGTGAATTTCTATGTACTCATATGTAAATTACTGCGAAATTCCGGCCTCTTCTCTGAGACTCTATTCCAAATACGCAATTACTCAAGGTTCCGTAGTCTTTAAATACTGTGGCAAACTGGACAGTGGCAACGACAAGTTGTTCTAATGTTGTAGAATTAAGTTCTAATTCGGTATTGGTACTTCTATCATAACAGATCTGATCCCAAATGTATAGATTTGTCACGATGTGACTACCTAATCTAAAAGATATTAAGTCAAAATCGCATCACTATTTATTCTGGCTCGTTGCATCATAATCACCAGTAATGTAATGTTTAGCGTTACACAAGAACACATTTAGGTTGGAGATAGAACAATATATTCAATATGAATAAAAGGAATAAGTTACACAAAGATGATCACACCTGCAAGGCTAAGACATACTGTCCTTTTAAATGAATTGAATGTTCCTGGGTTCTCCATGGTCGGCCTTCTCACCGTACTGAATATCTGTTTTCCAAGTTATCTCATGTTCAGCTTTAAGGATATTGTGGTTAAGACTAATACCACAAAGGGGTGTTCGTGAGTTTTTAAAGTTCTTACTCGCTGATATTTGGTGAAAGTGTCGAACCAGTGTCCGATTATGTTTGTCCTTCTGCGTAGCTGATTTGGGATCTTTCAAGCTGATTTCGGCACATGTTTCGTAAATAATTCAACATTTTTGATATTTGAAAATATTAGCATATTGTATGAAACATTTCATATTGTGGTATTCGTGGTATGTGACTGCTGTTTGATAACTTCATATATCATCGCTTAGTCCGGCTATCACTATTTGAGAACGTTTTATAAAGATTTTCAAATTCGTAATGGAATCCTTCTATACTACACTGAATCGGAATATATTTGAGGTAATTCCTAAGGCTTTGAATATCACTTTTTCGGACAAAATTTATTAAACAACTTCTAGCTAGTACGGAACTCAGAAAACAATGTGGACAATGGATTGCAATTTACTATTGTGCAGCATAGATAACAAAGGTGCAAGTTTATAGAGCGAATGTGAACAAAGTTATGAATAAGAGTGTATAAAGCAGATTATCAAACAGAAAACAAGGATGAGAAAAAAAGCGATTGAACTGATGAAAATACACAGCACATATTTAGAGGTGCCGCAAGTATCCGGAGTTTGACAACACCATACCCAGTATAAGCTATCATTATCGAAATATGACAACCCAGTGAAACCGGAAGTTGCAAGCGAAAAGGGTTAGAAGATATACTTGATAAAATATTGATATTTCGAGAAGTGACTAATCTAAACTGGTTGGTGGTTGTAGGAGAATTGAAGCTCGGATTATCCACTCCAGATCTGGTGTAATTGCCTGACCGAGCACAATCAGCTAGATGAGTCCAGTAAAACTAATGCCATCAGTATCAAATGTCTAAAACCTACAGATCGATTGATTTTAGAGATTTATTTACCGCTACATATTTAATGTAAATTGAATCAGTTATCGAGTCATTTAGGCGGCTAACATTCGGACTAGTACGAGGGATATGTTTGTACGCTGCATCATGTTACAAACGGTATATTTCCATACAGGACTGACAGATATACTGTTGCTGTTCAATCAACACCCCGTGAAATTCGTTTGTTGAAGAAGTTAACGATAATAAATGCAAGCAGATTCAAATGTAAGTAGGACGTTATAAATTTCTGTGCCAGAAAACTACATCCAATTCTGTATTTTGTTCTAGTGATTCACGCGGAGCACCCATCTACCTCTGGTATCTATATGTATTCTCATGGTCTCATGTTCTTGGAAAATCATCAATGTGCTTTCGACTCAATGTCCTGGACTTAAAACTTAGATAAAAGCTATATCCTTGTTTCTGATGCACAGCATTTAAAATATCAGTCGGAATTACTGCCTTCAAAATTAGTTATTGTATCAACAACATATGAAAAACATATCCACATATGCTAAACATCAATTAAATCGCAGATTGTAATTTATGAAAAATCGCCAGGTAGATCACGAAAGTTCATTGTTGATTTCTGAATATTCATCATACTACGACAATCTCATTGAAATGTGTTTGATAGAAATTGATATTTGCAATGCAGTGATCGTTCGAAAAAGAACTACTTGTAAATCCTAGCTTCCACTATACTTTTGTCTAAGAACTTCGTGAAATTGAACAGGAATGCATGTCGACAGGCATAAACTACGATTAATTGAGCAAGGAATGTCCCCTTCAATGGATTCTCGGTGCGTTGTGAGAAAGAACGACAGATCTTAAATTTATTGGTGTGCGATTTCGTAACGGTTCATAAATATATTTGAGAACGCTCAATATCAGAAAACTTTATTACCATACCTCAGAATAAAGATATAAACTGGGAGTGTAGAATCAGACTATATTCACAGGATGTTACTTAACCAACACATGGTTGCAAGATGTAGTGGTTAGCACTCATGAAGTTTGTAGAATTGAAAATTATCTGGTGCCTGAATCGATTGTAACGTGAGATCGCATGTTGAAAACAGAGTAGTCGTATCTCTATAATATTTGAATTGTAGTATGAACTAGGAATCCCAGAAATAACGCAATTGAATTAAGAAGTAAGACAAGCACGAACGGATGTATTGTATTTAGAATTCGAAATCGAGCATTCAACAAGCACAAAAGAATCATTAGTTAATTCAATCACCACAATCTCTCCATCAGCTAGTGAGACAGTTTTATCATATGGTTGTGTAATCCTGTTAATATAATCGCTAGGCACTTGAAAGTCAAACTGTTGAAATACTATGGGTGCATCATTTTGACAGTTTGTGAGTTCTTCCGGGAACAATCAATTTAAGACTATTTTAAATTTGGTTTGCGATCACCACAATACGCGTGGTAGCTTTCATCCCCGAATTCATGAAAGTGATATAATCGTAATGATGCGTGATATGGTAAAAATCTCTAGAGATATTTTGTCATTACGACAATTTACTTTTAAGTATAATCTCAAGACCTTCCGAATGAAGCAAACAAAGTGAAGAATTCTACGTTTAAAACATTTTCTCACAGTATACGCACGGAAATATGTCTCATCGGTTTGTGAAAGTAAAATGATTTGATCCGACTTCAATATATATTTTGGTCAGATTTTCTTGTACATCAGTCTATATTCTTCACTATTTAATATCGTAGTTCGGTGAGCCTAAATTAATCGTTGCAGTTTGCTTTCCAATAAATGTTTAGTTACTCTTTTAAAGTGTTCACTGATAGAGCTGATACCACTTGTTCCACCAAGGTGTCTCTTTTATCCTAGTGAAGATTAAACTACGGGTAACTTCTATGGACTATGAATAAACTAGTATTATTTATATTTATAAGACATACAAACATCCAAAACATTATAAAAGATATGGAATACCAATTAAATGTCAACTGGCGTCTGAAGATACTTAAAGGAAACAAGGTTCAGGCATTTTAACTGCTCATCGTAAAGGAAATTTGTAAAGGCCCATCACTAACTTTTTCTCCACATGCCGAACACCTTATTAAGACATGGATTGGCAGTTTGGATACAACACTCAAGATGTGGTCTAAAATAGGTGGCATATAAAATCTGATACATCTCCTCGTCAAAGCATTTGAATGCTCAGCTAGGTGACCATAACTCTCGAAAACCTTTGGTGTCTGCTGCGTTGCAACACTCAGTTGTATTTAATTCGTGAATTACTGTTTTTCCATTCCTGCACGCATGGAAGTGACTCACTGTTGATAATATACTGGCAAATATTGCAGTTTCCAATATTCATTAACACAATCTTTATAGAATTCACTTCTAAGCCCCGACTTTGATGAATCCAACAATTTGTTTAGGTC